ATGCAGGGTGAACATCAATATAACATAAATTATCATTTAAATTTGCATTCTAGAAGAAGTTTCAAAATACTGAATATATTTACTTATATGTAAACTATTTACATAAAAAAAACTGAGAAAAGCAAATCTGATTAGAACGGCTTTACTTGAAAACTCTAGTAATATTATATATACACACACATATATATATATATATATATATATATATATTATATAGTTGGGCCATTTTCGGTTTTGTTACAACATTATTTATTATTTGGTTTAGAAGTTTAATGAATTTTGCTTTTAGAATTCTAAGTTTTACATAATTTAACAAATTTTTCTCTACAATCATCGCCACAAAATGTCTTTAACTTGTTTCAGCCACTAGTATGTCCAAGGGTCATGATCATTTCACAAACAATCTGCTTTGTGACCTGAATTCAAATCTGAAAATTCTTCCAGTGTTTTGTTCAGTTAAAATACAAATAAACCATTTCAGAAAAAGAAAAAAAATATTACATCTATTGAGGATCAAAATAATGTTGTTGCAACATCACAATTTCTGCTATTAAATAAAACTTAAAATGAGGAACCAGTTTTATTTGTTTTTGATTCATTAAAGGTTTAGCATCCATTGTGTCCACACCTTCAGAATTTTACAAGATTATAACATTTTCCAACAAGAAATTAAACTTGATAAGGAATAAAGAAAATAATTTTTCTATTGCTTAAAGTTTGAAGATCCTGGATATAATACTCTAATTAGACATGGTAGAGTAATGATTCTTAGGAAGCTTTATTACAAAGATTTACTATTTATAGTGATTTAGACTAAGATAGTTCTTTAGTTAAAGGAGATAATCTCCAACAAGGGTGGGAGGTAAATATGTGGTTACCTGTGACAATATTATACTTTCTTTTTAAATAATTTCATTTGGTTTTTTGAAATTATCAAAATTGTTTCACTTAAAACTGTTTTCATTTAAGTAAAGCATAAATTTTAATAACTTAATATCAAATAGGAATCTGATGTACATGAAAGTGCTTAAATAGGAAGTTGCAACTGAAACAACTTTTGTACTGTTCCTACTGTATACTGAGCAACACAAGTCACATAAGGATTAAAAGTAACATATTATATCAGCCCTATAGCAAATATGTATAAGAGCAATTAAAATCAAGAAGACACAGATTTTTAGCACTATATATATATATATATGTGTGTTTTTTTTTTTAATATGTCTTGTAATATTAAGTTTTATACTTTTATTTCGATCATTAAATTTTGTACCTACAACAACAATATATATATATATATATATATATATTACACATAGGGATAGTTACCATGGTTGAGAAGCTGAAGTTAAAAAGGCATTACTTACATGGATCTTCTATATACCATATCTTTTCAGGATGTGGGTGATCATAGCTCTCCACAACCTTCTATTTCTTGTAGCCTTTAGTGATAATTGTCCCTTTGCTAAACCTCCAACCCACTGTTTTGCTATCCATTCACATAAGCTTCTCAGGTAGGTGGCTTGTTGTTTTCCCCTGTCCCTCTTGCCTTTGATATGCTCTGTGAGTGTTAAGTTCTCTAAGCCTTCCTTCCCCTTATGTCCAAGAATTTTCAGCTGCATAGAGCAAAAAAAAAAAGGACAAAGACTAGTCTTCTATGTGCCATCTTATTTCTGGATGTCAAAAATTATAGTTCTCCACAACTTCCTATTCTTTGTAGCTCATAGTAAGATTTTGTTTTTCACCATCCTTTTCATTTTTTGTTCTGCCATCCATTTACACAAGCTCAGTAGACATGGTTACTTGTTGCTTTCCTCTTGCCTTCAATATGTCAAATTTTCTTTTCTTATTCTATGTTTTAGAAATTTCAATTTTTTTTTCTTTCTGATTCCATTTTCCTTAAAACTTACCCATTACTCACATTTTCAGTATTTTATCAAAAAAAAAAAAACAACAACTTTGAATTCATATTTAAATTCATTTTGATATAAGGAGAAAAAAAATGACCACGTGAGTATATATTGAAAAAAATTACGTTAAATAAAAAAAAAAAAAAAAATTATTGTCTTGGCTGATTCCATTTTACATGCTGATTTCAAACACCAACTGAGGTTGTTGATTTTTCACTTTATACTAATGCCCTTGGGAAAGGCAGTAATCTACTTCTCTTTATAATGTATACTGTCACCATTTTCAGGTGCTCGATAATGAAAAAATTAAGCCAGCAAATTGAATTCAAATTCCTTCTGAGGCTGCTTCTATTCAGTTTATACTAATGCCCTTGGGAAGGCATGAAACCACTTCTATCTGTATGATTACCTACTCATTGCCAGATAAATTTGTGTTTAAGCAAAAGGCAAAGGATCTCTTCAATATTTATCTTACCTGTCTGGATAACAGCAGCAAAAAGCTGCTATAATTAAACTTGGTAGGGGCCATATATAATTTTTCTTGTGTTCATACTAGTGTTTTCTTTTCTGGGTACAAAGTGTGTAAAACTGTCCTTTTGGCTATTCTTTTAGCCATTATCATGGGCGATTTTTTTTTTTTTTTAACTAAATATGTGGGTTTTTTTATGTATCTGAAGTTATAGGAATATTTTATTTTGCAAACACGGTCAAAACGTTGTGCCCATGTTCAAAGTTATTGAGTGTTAGCTTTTACTTTTTTATTATTATGGCTGCCATTATTTTTAATTTTTTTTTCACATGTGGATGAGGCTATTATACTTATATTTTCTACAAGTATGTTGTAGATGGAGTTTGGTATGTTTTTGTGTGCATTTAAATGAGTCCTAATAGAGCTATAGTCAGGTAGATGTAACAGTTTTTGCATACTTTGTGTCCAGAAAAGAAACCCTTGCACAAACACAAGAAAAATGAAATAAAAAGCTTAATTGCAGTATTTTGTCATTCATCTTTAACAAAACATGTATAAAAGAGGGATTGCTGCCTAAATACACAATATATATGAGTACTGTTTTATGCAAAACAAAATGAAGTAAAAAATTTGGTGCTTTAGTTTTTATGACTGAAAAGAGGTGTCGGTCAGAAAAAATCCTTTTGACTGTCTTCATGAAGTAGAATTTTCATCTGTTAGTCCATTAGCTTCCTTGAATTGTGACAACTTCCATGTATGGTATCACTGTAGTGTCTCACAATATGACACCATTCAAAGACTAACAACAGGGTTAACAATAGATATAAATTCCATTTGAAGAAGACCAAAGAATGGAGTTGTCAAATGAGCAAAAAGAAACACTAAAAAGATAGTCTTAAAAATTCATTGAATATTTTGAATGTCTTTTTACCTTTCATTGGTATGTGGCATCTTCCTACTGTAAAGGATATAGATAAATTCTGATCAAACTCATTTGTGAAGCAAATCAAAATGTAAAAACCCTTCTGTCATAATAAATCTCTAAGATTAGTGAGGAATTTGTTCTTTGTAATCTATTCAAATATTTATCCTATCTGAACAATGCACATTCATCATGTATAAGATTAACTGCTGAAATGTTTAGATGCTAAACAAAAAAAAGATGTTATTTTTAGACATAGTTATCTTGATCCTTCTAAGGTTGTAGTAAAAATATTTTAGACTTGTAAACAAAAAAAGTATTTAAGTACTGTAGATATTATATGAACGATACTGATATAGCTTTTTGTTTTGATATCAGTTTCCTTCTCCAACATATGACTATAACTAAAGCTGCTCATTGGTTTAACAAAATAGATTCTAATATATACCTCTTGTATGTAACAGGTGAGTGAGATGAGTTCCTACCTTTAAACCTGAATACAAGAAAAAAACAGACAATTTTTCTTCCTTTCACTAGAAGTAGGGTTTCTTTTTATATACAAGCAACTAGAGGCAACTTTTTCCATCAAGATGAAAGGAACTGATTTTCTTCATTGTTGTTTAATACTGTTTTTGTTTTTAATTAATTTTAAAAGTAACAACATGAGTTTTTACAGCACTTTTGGTGATTTAAATTTTAATTCTTGTTGTAGTTAATTCTTTTGTGGAAGTAATTACTTTGTTTTTCAACTTGATAGCAGAACTTGAATTGAAAGGTATTTGTTTACTTTATGATTTGTTAAGCTCAGATGTATCAAATCTCATTGGCCAGACTGAGTTGCAAGTCAGAAACTGAGTTACATTTGAAAGCTGAGCACTATCAAATTTTGAATTGACTGCTTTCTCATTATTAAACACAAGTTGCTTCACCTTATTGTAAAAATTCACCCAAAAAGTTCAAATTTTCAGAATTCAAAATTTATTACTGCTAGACTTTCAAAAATTACCAAAATCTGCTTGCCATGCTTTAAACTTTTTTGCCTGTTCCAAATACAATTTTGTATTTTTACAAATTGATTTATTTTAAATGCTTAAAAGATGAAACAACTATAATAGACACTAAATAAACTTAAATAATTAGTCATTGCTCAAAGTTACTGGCTTTGTTTTAGTTCTCTGGTCACATAATATTAATTATTATGTGACCAGAGAATTATATTCCTTTTAATTATTGCTACAATAATTTCAAATTGCTCCCCAAACTTGCAGATTTGTGTTGGTAAGCCTTGAGATGTATATGAGCTCTTATTTATTTTACGTATATCTGTCTCTGTTTTTACAACTTGCAGATATAAAGAATAATTTATTAGATTCAGTTAATTTAATTAAGATTAAATTGCAAAAAACATACTCCATGCTTGTTGTTATTTGTTAGTAATAAGAGATTAGCATACTCGCATGTCTGTTAATAAGCATAAATTGAAATGCATGGGTGGGGGAGTGGTTGTTAGTGCCATCTGGTTTAATTGAACTTTTTTTCTTCTCTTTCTTTAAGAAAAAATAATATCTTGAAACAAAAAGACTTTCATCTCATTCTTTTTCTTTTTTCTTTTTGGAAAAAAAATAATAGAGGCATGCACAGTTAGAGAGAGCAGCGTGAATTGACCAAACTGAATGAGGACCTCCTTACCTGATTTACCTCAATGTAGTATTAAACCTACTGAGACAGAAATAAGTACGGAAAGACCCAGGATCATCGGCTCAGAGATCACCGGGCCTATGCCACCTAGAGTAGAGAAAAATGACAGTCTAAAAACAACAAAAGACTACAGAAGATTCTGGAAGGAAATAATAATTATAATAATAATAATATACTGGTTATAATAAAAATGATAAGGATTAAGAAAAAAATGGGAATGAAATGAGATGAATATTTGGGAAATTGGTCATTAAACCCCAACCTCCCAAAAAAGGGGTCCTTTATGTTGCTAAAAAGAAATTTAAAAAAAAAAATGATTGAAAGAAAGATGAATTTCAGTAAGAATAGAAAAAAAAGATCCCTTAAAACAGGATACACAGATTTAGAGCAAAACCTCTAAATCCAATTAAAAAGTGTCCCTTATATTGCTAAAAAAAAAAAAAAAATTCTAAAGAAATCGAAACTTTGAAATTAAAATGAGGGGAAAAAATTGTGAAGATCATGTGATATGGTCAAAGGTGTTTCTTGTGGCAATAAGGAGATGGCAGTGGATTTTGGGTTTGTGGCAATACAAAATAAATTAAAAAAAAATATGTAACAACAATGAAAAATGAGCAAACTTAATGTTATGTAGCAGCAGAACGACAAAACTCATTCACAAAACAGACAACAACAAACTTGCATTTTTTTTCCCCGTTCTTCATCCAAATTTTTGGTTAAAAAATATAAAAATAATAAAAATCATGATAGCCAAGAAAAAGAAAAAAAATTTTTTAAATAACTGACAACATTGAATAAGTATAAAAAAAAATAAACACAATGACATAGCATGACAACATATCCAGTCATACATCCCTGTTCATGCAAGGGAATATATATATATATATACACACACACACACACATACTCACACAAGGTCAGATAAACATGTATATATTATTTGTTAATGACAGTTATGGTATTTCCTTGAAAGTTACATATTTTATTTTCATAAGAATAAATGTTTTAATAAATCTAAAACATAATCTTAATATTAATTGTGTGATAATTCACAATTAAAAGAAAATATATTCTAGAATATAAAATATGTGACTGGTTATGCATCCTTATCTCCCTTATTTAAGATAGAGATATTCTGTGGCTATAGTTACAAGAGGCATTTCTTTACACAAATAAGTAAAAATGCTTCCTGCAAACAATGTAACAGAATTTCATTAATAAATAGGGGTGATCAGGCTGCTAATACATGGCTTTTATTTATTGTTCTCTATTAGCTTTCTTTGGATGTTTTTATTTCTAATTATTTAGAAAGCAGAATATTTTCTACATTGGCCAATATAGTTAGTGTTATTTGTATTTTTGACACTTATCAATTGTAAAGTCAGAAAATATTTTTAGATTGAAAGAGTTTTTTAGGGATAATATTGATTTAGTGATGCAAATTTGACTAATTAACCCATAGCTGGGAGGAGAAGAGGTGGATTCATACCTTTTTTAAGGGTATTTGTGCATAAATGAATATAACAAAACTGACTGGAATTCTAAGTCATTATTCATTACACCACTTGTACATTTAAGCTTACGCACCTAATATTCCCAAGTGGTCACCTCTCACCTAATATTCTCAAGTGGTCACCCCTCTAGGTACTGATCAGGCTCAGTGTTGCTTAACTTTGGTGATCATATGAGAACCAGTTTCAATGTGATATAGCTGTACGCCCACAATATAGTTAATTGTATAAATAAAAATCTTAGATTACCAACACAGAAAATATAATCAATATATTTGCTAAGCTACTTAAATATTGCTATCATTTTCTGTTAGTATTGGTAAACTAGTGGTGATATAATTTATTCATCAATGATTTTACAATTATTGCTGTTCTTTTTAAATTGTATATGAACATGATTAACTTTCAGGTAATGACTGTAATTGTTATTAACCAGTATAGACATATTTGTTGGTGACGTTGGTGTAGCTTAGGTAGACATATATAAGCTATAACATATATGTATATAAGAACTCTAGGATAGATACAGGAGTTGCTATTATGTTAAAAGAAAAGAAAATTTAAGTATTTATATTCTTGAAGCTGTAACAGTTGTAAAATGAACTTTTTCAATTTAAAATTTAAACAGCAAATTATTTCAAAGATAGACTGTAAACTATAATTCATATATTATCAATAGGAATATACTGTTCTCAGATTTCAAATAATAATATAATAGGTTAAATGTTAGCTTTATATTTAAGTTTATGCAAAGATGATTTTATAGTTCATAAATGTGAAAATATTTGTCTAAGGTAGAAACATAAGATTTTTTTAATGTGAAATGTTATTTTATGAGTTATTTAAACTAGATTCTCACTTATGTTGTTTTTTTCTGCCTTTTTCAGGTAATAGCCAGTGATCTTGAATTGTTTTCTCTAAAATCTCCACTTCTTCCCTGGCCAAGGAACAAAATTTTATCGATCCAACATTGAATTTTGGTTTAGTTTTAAATCAAAATTCCTCCAGTTGGATTTGTTTATATCCAATTGTTTTTCTTGATGGTTTCTGGTTTAAACTAAGTGTCTTGTGACATATGTGCATCTGATGCACCTGTGTAGCCAATCTAAGGCAACATCAGTAACAATGGCAACATATCTATTCTCAGTCGTTATAAAACAAGAAAGATGGGATGCAATGAAATTCATTTTTTATCAATGAGAAAGTTTGTGTGTCTTCCCTTTGCTAACATATCCATATAAAAATTTGCAAATTATTCCACATGTATCTCTTCATGCAGAATCTGTTAGTATGCATCACAGTTAAAGAGTCCATACTGTTACTGAGATTTTGTCATAATTATGTTCTAGGTTTTGGTTAAAAATTGATTTTTTTTATAGCTTAAAGTTTATTTGGACTTCCTAAATCGAAACCGTTTTTTATCTAATGACATCAGTTAATGTTGTTTTCTCAATTAAGGATAAATTAACAATCTGAAAAGTCTTGTCACAGATGTCTTAATTGCAGAGAGCCTGAATATTTATTTTAGATATTTATAAACCAGGGCCAGGATGAATACTTCTAGTACTTTAAAAAGGTTCATGCTTTATTTTGGTAAATACAATTAGGTTTATACAGCAATTTCTAATGGTAACTCTAATAAAAGATTTAAGATATCCAAGAATATGTTAAGTACCAAAGATTCTTGCAAACATTGAATATACAACAGTCAGTCCAAAGAGACCATAGAACTGAAGAAATTCATAAAAAATACTGGCAAACATTTACTGGAAAAAAAAAAAAAAACAAGGATGAACATACGAGTTAAAATAATTTGGAGAACAATGACTCATATAAAAATCTCAAATAATATGAAATAAAATATATATTGTTTTAAATATAACATTTGCATATGTACACACATGTAAGTGTTCAACAATAACAGATTTGTTAAAATTTCTCCTCCGCATGAAGTTTATTAATAAAAAAATTCATAGCACCTTTATAAAAGCAAACTGCTACTACACAAGAGATGAAACACATGCATATCTAAGACTACGTAACACAAAATTGTTATAGGTCAGTATTTATAACTACCAAATTCAATGTCTACCAGATTTTTTCCAATGTTATTTTACTTTTGACAAAACAAGTTGGAATAATCTGCATTAGTGAAACTTATATATTATATTAAAAATTACTCATTAAAAAAGGCATTATTTTTTTTATTACACTACTTTTCCCCAATACAATGTGCCACTTAAGGTAGAGGTTAAAATGGGGATGTTGTAATGGCATACAGAGAGGGAGCTAGGGTTGCATATTATGAAGTTAGGTAGGATAGATAAGTTGAATCTTGACTTGAAGAGGTTAAGATTGTAGTGGTTAGGGAAGCATCTTCTTGGGAGTATTTTCCACATTGCAACAGTTCTGGGGAAGAAGTTGTACTCCTCACTAATGGAATATGAAGGGAATGAGGACAAATTGATGTAGCCTGGTGGATGCAGGCTGTGAAGGTCAGGACTGGTGGGACCAAGGAATGTAGTTTGTCCAAACATCTGCTATGAAAATAGCAATAGAGAAGCAACAGGCTAACAACATTTCATCTATGGGAAAGGGGTTGAACGGTGTGGAACAATTCATCATGCACATGGCCATGTAGATGCTTCTGAAGTTCTAAACATATAAAAAAAAAAAAAACAGAATAATTAAAAGAAAATAATTTATAGTGTCTGAAAAATATCTTCCATTTTGAAAATAATTAATAGTAACATGAAGTCTTACATGTATAATACATTCTGTTGGAATTATTATGCAAGCCAGTTTTTTAAAATATAATTTGCATTAACCAATCAATGTTGGTAGAAATTTTGAGATCTCATAATTCTGTTTGTCCCACCTTTAGTTAAAACGACCATTACATGCTGGCAATACCTCCTAAATAATGGACTATTCAATTTTGATCATGTGGAAAGACAGAAAAGTCATATCCGAGACGCTACTTGATTTCAGTAAGAAAATAAATGATAGAAGTATTTAACATCCGTTTCAGTGAAATGGAAAAAAGTTGTCTATTACAATATTTTGTTGAAGTTGTTAATCTCAAATATTTAACAATGTGATAGGGGAATTTGTATGGATATTTTATTGTTGTAGAACTTGCCATGATCACTAATGGAATAATTAAGATTCATCAGAAAATTCAGATAGAAAAACTGAAATTTTTATGGGTATTTCTAGTATATAATGAATCTTCAATGTGAATTTCAGTTTATCTATTTTTTTTAGTAGGAATCTTTATATTAATTTATTTGGTCATGTGAGATTATACTACTTGAGGGTGAATAATCATATTGTAAATAAATATAGATCATAATACAGTTATTTCTATTTAGGTTTATTTTCACATATATAAAGAATTGCTGTGGGCCATAAATAAGATATAAGTTCAAAAGAGAAACAAGATATTGTAATGTTATTGAGTAATGGCAATACAATATTGGAAATGGTGAATAAGTTGGATAGAGAAAAAAAATCAACAAAGAAACAGGCAAGATCAGAATGAGGCAACTGACTTGAATAATGTCAAAATTTAAAAGGGAATTAAGAAAAATTGATTAACCAGAAAGAATATATTTGAAAAAGCTGATGATGCAGAATATGAATAAAATTGATTGATCAAAGGCATGAAAGCAACCAAAATAACAACTTTTTCAGTAAAAATTACAGAGAAACAACAAAGTTTCTCAGCAGCAAATTTTTACAGATGAATGTAGAACTCAACTGGATTCATCTACTTACTGGAATAGAGCATGAGTATTTCATGACAACAACAGCAGGAGGAGGAGGAGGAGTAATATTTTGTGTGAGTATTAATGATGGCTCAAGATAAATGCACAGAATTATTGTAAATTCTTGGATAAGGCATTTCTTTCATAGTACAGGTTACAATCAAGAAACATGGAGAAGCAGTGATTTATTTTAATATTCTTCAAGACTGACTATTACTGACCTTGCAAAAAAAGGTTTGAAAGACACCAAATTAATAGAATGGCCTTCCCAGCCTCTTTAGATATTAATCTAAAGGCTTTATACTTCATCATCAAAAGAGGTGTCTATGAGAAAAGAAAATATTCAAGCAAAGAAGATAATCTCTGCAAATAAAGTCAAAAGAACAGAAAAGTTAAAATCAATGAATGAAAAACTGATGGTTATAGAATGTCAAGGAGCCTACGTTACATAATAAAATAATTTATTCAGACATAGGGGAGATTTTGTTAAATATCTTTCTATAGCCCACAGTGAAAACAGACTTGTGTAATAAATACTGATAGTGTGTTTTATATATATATATATATATATGGTATCAGATTTTTTGTTATAATTTATATTTAGAGAGAGAATAGATGCTGTTATTTTGTAAAGAGTATGAATAAATTTTACAAGTCAAATGTTTTCAATAATTGAAAGCAATCACATTTAATGAATTTTTAAAAAAAGCTAAAATTTAAGTGTGTTTTGTGCAGAGAACATTATCCAATTTTATGTTTATTTCATTAAATACTCTGATTTCTGATTGCTCTGGAATTTTGTCCCAAAGCTCCTAATGAATACAAATGTTTGGTTTTGTCTTTCAAAATGGTTACACCAATATTTGCATCAATTTTGCGATTGTATTGGTTATATTTTCTATATGTGCAATGTAGGAATTTTATGCATGCAATTATCTCTCTTTTTTTGCATGAAATAAAGAATTCAAACCATCAAAAAGATGCTAACCTGAAGCAAATGAAATAAAAAATGAAATGTGTTCTCATTACTTACAAATGAACAATCTTCTTGTTTTGGTGACATAAGGCATGTTTGCTAATTGGCACTTAATACTGCCTCTTGTTACCATAATGGACTATCTCATATAGGGGAAGGATATGTGACCGAAACCATACTGTGTTTTAAATTTAAGAATAATTTTAAACTAATTTCTTTGACTTTTATTTTGTTTTAGTCAATTTATATGTTCCATTCATTATGTCGTTTTGGCTGAGTACCTTCTGGCCATACTCAAGAGTCTGATAAAATCTAAAAATGTAGAATTTTATTTTGGGAGAATATTCCTTCTTATGCACATCATATCAGGTGCTTGCATTTGTGTATTCTTGAGATTGTTGTCTTTTAACCTATGTGCCGAACCTATGACTTCCAATTGATTATGATTCTATAG